CATGATTCATTTAACTTACGACCACACCATACTGATCTATTTACAAAAGTTTAAATTTTAATAGCCACATCAACTCCCATCAAGCTTTTAAATACGAGGTATTCACCTTTATATTTAAGTTCGTATAAATCATCCTTAAATAGCTTTCCCTCGACCTTGTTTAAGCGGGTTTCTATACCAATTGTTACATCTATTCTAACAGACTTTGCTCTCTCTTAAAGGGGATAACAAATTTGTTATCTATCTCTCCATATCTTTATAACTTCTTTATATACCCAAAGATGTTTTTTTAAGCCCTAGGATTTTCAACTGGGGAGTCACTTATTGACTTTTACTATGGATGACATGTTCTTAGTAATCCTTAATTTACTACTATATCTAGAGGTTGTTCCTCTTTTTTCTAAAAGTTTCTCTCTTATTGGTTGAAGAAAGATTACACCAATTTCTTTCAATTTACTAGCTGTTGCAGCATCATTCATTCCTTTAATAACTAAAGTTAGCTTGTCACATTGTTGTTGGGGTATTACATTATGATATATTAGGTCTCTTTAGGACTATTCTTCTATATTAGTGCATACTTCTCTTAGTCATTTGAATGTTCTTTACTTTTTATAAATGATGCCAATTGATGAGGTTGATTTTGAATAGGAGGCTGACTCGGTGAAATAAACTGAGTTTGAAGTTAAAAGAACTCTATGAATTTACTTAAACTTGACCCACGCTTGATTTTAACTAAGTCCTACAAGTTTTGGACTATAATGAGATTGAGTAAGTCTTACGATTAATAAACTTATGCTATAACTATTTATTGATATGAACAAATGGACCCTTATATTTTTTTAGGGGAAAAAACTTTCCTACTTGAATAAATAAAGAGTGAATGGGAAGTAGAACGAAAATAGAAGGTGAGAGACAAAATCTTATAAATTTTATTGATAAAGGCAACATTTATAAGCCGTCATTTTAGGACTAGTTTTTCATTAAGTTATTGCACTAAGTGTGACTAATTAATTACAGTCTAAATTGTACCTAATGAAAAAGAAAAAGTCTCATCTTTTATGTCATTTAGATTATCACAATAATATGTAATTAATGGTAAGAAAAATAATTTCCTCTGTAAATTTCATTGTCTTGACTATTAACTTTACCTTCTTACTTTGTCTATGTAAGTTGTTGCCTTATCATAAGTTCAATTGTTGCCATATATAACCTTTCCAACATTGTAGATATGTTTTAGTTTATCATATGTTTCCTAATTCTTTATTATATTTTGATTTTTTTAACTAAAAACTTGAGATTTTTTAGTTATTATGTCTAATTTGGGGGGACAAATAATACTTCTTAGAAAGAACTTTATCTAAGTCCCTCTAAGAGACTTTACTATTATATGTGTGTGTGTATATATATATATACATATATTTAATAGTGGACCTCGATCTATATGATGGACTTCAAAACCATTTGTCCGCCAAAATGATAGACTACTATACCATAATTCAACTTAAACTGTATGGCTTCATAATCTTGTTTTTTAATGAGCGATTCTTTAAAAAAAATACCACAATATTTAAAGAAAACTACGACAAAATTTAAAAAACATATCAGAAGCAAGAGCTAGAACACAACCCCAATAAAATTCTCCATAGCCCTTTAGGTTTACCATACGCACTATGTCTAGTTGCACAATCTAACAAGCAATTTAAATACTACAAACTCTTTTTCTTTTTACAAAAATTAACCATAATTTTGCTTGGGTACACAAATTAAAAGTTCCATTGTAGCTTTTTATTTGTTTTTTAACACCTTGGTTCTTGAAATTTCTTACTTCACCTTGGTATTTATAAAGGTGAAGAAGGTTCTTGAAAATGGAAAGAGCAAAGGAAAGTCTTAAAAATCTTCACCTCGATGATTTAAACCTTGTTACTAAAACAGAGAATCACGTTGACGTTAGCTTATCATTCATTAGAAAGTTATTACTACTATTAACTGTCTTAAAAATATTGCATGATAGTCCTCAAGCAAATGTTCGAGAGGTTTTCATTGCAAAAGTTTGCAAGAAATTGAGAAAGGGAAAATGATGACAAAAATGAATTTGATTTATCATTTAATATTAATTAAACCATATTATTTCATCTACCAATATTAGCTATTCTGAAATATGTTATAAACATCAACGTTCTAAGGTTTCGACACAGAGAAAGTTTAGATAATTTACTAAATAATTTCACATTATTTATTTAGTTTACCAAATAAAAATTAATTCTTTATTACATATTTTTTAATTCTATTTCGATAATATTTTTTTTGTTTATAAAAATTTTTTTAAAAATATTATCTTTACACTCGTAATTACGTTTGTCGTAAGAAGTAACTGAATGATAATTTTTAGAAAGTAAATCATAAACTTTTCAAATATAACGGGTCACAAATAGATTATTTTCGTATAGATTTGTAATGAAAACCAATAATCAACTAATTAAATTGAATTCTTGCATTAACTTTATTTTTTTTTTATAATAGAGAAAATTTGAGAATTGCGGCCTTTGTTCTAAAAGAGAAGTATAATGGAATTATGAGTTAACATTTATAAATAATATTGATGACATTGCACCGTGTGTATATATACATATATATATATATATATGTATGTATGTATATACATAGATGAGTTGATAGACACAATTATTCGCCATATATATGTTCTTCATGCTTTTTTCAAAAGTCCAACCTTTTGGTATACCTTAAGTGGATATGTACTCCTTGACTTTAAAGTCCATGGCCTTCTTCTCTTCGCCAAATCGTCAAGGGAAAAAGAATGATTTTGACCCATAAAGAATAAAGAAATTGAAATATATATATGTATATGTATATATATATATATGTATCTAGATATGTACATATTTGTAGTACAGAACTTTCTCAGTTCATCGCAAAATCTATTGAAGATAATGTGGTATAAGTCCAAAAAGAAGAGTTAGAGATTTCTTTACCAACAGAATGAGAAAACTGGCTCACAAGCTTGCTTTTAGGCTGAGTAGTACTCTACTTATTCTCAGAAAATAATTACATATATATATATATGTATGTATGGATCTTATCGAGGATCAAAGGTTTACATATACATATATATATGTCTAGAATATATATATATATATATATATATATAGATTACAGCATGACTATATATTGGTGAATAGTAAACTAATTCGTCTTGAAGCTAATTTAATTAAAATTAATACAATCAAATAAGATAACTATAACTAATATTTAGCTATGCTAATATATAATTAAAAAATATATATATGTCAAGAATATATATATAGATTACAGCATGGCTTATTGTGAAAAATAATTTATTTAAGTATTTTTAAAATAGTAAACAATCAAATATTCTTACGCGAGAAATAATTAATTTTTATTTAGGTAAATAAATCTAGAGATTATTGAATTCTTGATTCTAAAATCTTATTCTGATTGATTCAAGCTCAATACAGATGAGCTTGAACATGGAGATTAGACCTGTTTACTATTAGGGTTATTATTACATATGTCCATTTTAACTGTATGTAGAGGTTCATGTGTATTATTGTCTATCAATGGAGCTATTTGAACTTCAAAGTATGTTAAAATACCTCACCCTTGCTTGGGATATTGACATAAAAAAAACTTATTGTCGAAGTTAATTCACTTTATCTCAAGCATATTCCACACAACATCGGAGGCACGATGAACCTTTTAAAAATATCGATTCGCTTATATAGAAATATAATGATATTCAAATTTTATATATTTACTGGTGATGGTAACTGTTATGTAAATTATTCAACTTATTGTTTCATAGTAAGCCTATGAAATATGTCGAGCTGACTCATTCCTTCGAAGACCTTCAGATCTTTCTCAATTTAGACCAATAGGATATTTGCTGAAACCTGTTAATTGAACATTAGTTTTCTTTGTCATTTCAGTGTTCTCTTTTTTTTTTAACACTCTGTTTGGATCGTAATAAATGATAGGATTTTAATGTATGATATTTCAGTAGTGTGAGAAAATCATGTTTGTTTTAACTTCCAATTATAATAAATGATATCTGACTGGTAAATTTGTAATAAATTTTAAAACCACCGAATCGGTGGTATG